TTTTTCTCCTAGAATTGCATTGGTTGTAATTTTCCACGTGTTGATAAGCAACATCCCAAATAGTAGACTCGCTTTTCTTTAATACTTAAAGGGGGAATTCTTTTATGATTCCTGCCACGGGACCCTCCCCAGGGCATTTTTGGAGGTGAGCTTTGTTCATTTAATTCCCTCCTTCATTTTGATCTGTTATCCTTCTGAATCGACTTCTAACACATATTTTCCCAGAAATAAATTCAGTTCTTCGAGATTTCCCAACTTTTACCATGGAGTTATAAATATTATCTTGCAAAGATGCGTGTATCCTTAAACCTGTGTCCGTTTTGCTCATTCCTAATTGTAGGCAGTTCTGTTCTTTTTCTTTCTTTTTATCCCTTTCATTAGACTTCTGTCTAATTTTGTCTGTATGTTTGCTTTGGGCAAAGAATTGATCCTGCAATTTCTTTCTCAGTTGTGGAATTTTTCTTCTAATTCCCTAACTCTGCTTTTACCTTACTTTTCTGCTTGACTAATAGGCTTTTTGCTTTATTTTATATTTTAGTCTCAACATGTTCAAATCTTAAAGTGTTTTATTTCTTGAAGATAGACCACATGTGTGTTCATTTGCAGGTTTTGAAAGATGTAATAGAAGAAAATGAATCCAAAAATCAGGATTCAGGGGCGCCTGGGTGGCTCAGTGAGTTAAGCGTCTGACTTTGGCTCAGGTCATGATCACACTTCATGAGTTCAAGCCTCACATCAGGCTCTCTGCTATGAGCCCTCAACCTGCTTCAGATTCTCAGTCTCCCTCTCTCTCTGCCCCTCCTCCATTCATTTTCTCTTTCTCTCAAAATAAATAAATAAACTTTTAAAATTTTTTCAAATTAAAATCAGGATTCATATTACCACTCAAGGATGATCCCTGTCCACATTTTGTGCATCTCCTTGTAGCTCATTTTTTTCCTTGGGTTTGTGCCAATATTCTCAAACATTTATTGCCTTTTTTATATTTTCTTGTATGAATCCTTAATATCCCGTAACTTTTCCCAGTTAATACATTAATATTTCTATGATTTATAGTTAGACTTGGTAAGTTAAATATATTACATTTTGTCAATCAAATCTATTATTTTTAATATTCTAATTTTCTGTACAGCACATTTTATTATTAAGAGCTTTTTCAATTAATGGTACAATTATTGATATTTTCTTCTTATTTCTCTTCTCTTTCTTGGATTATTTCCAGACTTTTTATTCAGAGAGAACTTCTATTTTCAAAGATTACATATTTTCACTATTAATTTATGTTATCTATATTTTTTATTTATTTTCTTTCCATAGCTTGTATGGTCTCTTGCTCCACACTTAACATTAAACATTGAAATCATAGGTGACTCTTGATCTCAGGGTCATGAGTTTGAGCCCCGCGTTGGGTGTAGAGCTTACTTTTCTTTGTTTATTCCAAGTTTTTATTTAAATTCTAGTTATCATATGGTAAAATTGGTTTCGTGTGTAGAATTTAGTGATTAGCCACTTACATATAACACACGGTGGGTGTAGAACATGCTTTAAAAAAAGTAAATATTAGAATCACAAAATTGTACGCCTGAAACTAGTATCACGCTGTATGTTAACTGCCTGGAATTTAAACAAAAACTTTTTTAAAAAGAAATTTATCAGGCAATGTGGAGATCGGATTTAACATTATTTTTTCTAAATTGTTAATCACTAAACACTTACTATGCTTTCAAAGACCCTCTAAGGTATCTAGGAATTAAAATGCTAGTTAAGTTGATGAAAATATGTTTGTGTAACCTAAATTATAATGAACATCTTATTAAATTACAAAACTCCAAGATTATTCTTGGACAGAATTCCTTTTTTTTTTTTTTTAATGTTTATTTCTTTTTGAGAGAGACAGAGCATGAGTGGGGGGAGGGGCAGAGAAAAAGGAAGCAGGCTCCAGGCTCTGAGCTGTCAGCACAGAGCCCCAGGCGGGTTGTGAGATCACGACCTGAGCCTAAGGCTTAAGCCCTTAACTGACTGAGCCACCCTGGCGCCCCTCTCGGAAAGAATTCTTTGAAAGATATGAAGAACTGAGAATACCAACTCTTACCATCAATTTGAGCAGGGTTGTGGAATTTCATACCAATGCAATAAGATCCAAAGATAAATAGGTGTTGTAAGTTTGTATTATTTGGAGAAAGTATGTAAATATTATAAAAAAACTTAAAATTTTTAATAAAATCCAGGGGCGCCTGGGTGGCTCAGTCGGTTAACCGTCCGACTTTGGCTCATGTCATGATCTCATCATTCGTGGGTTCAAGCCCCACGTCAGGCTCTGTGCTGACAGCTCAGAGCCTGGAAGCTGCTTCGGATTCTGTGTCTCCCTCTCTCTCTCTCTGTCCCTCCCCTGCTCATGCTCGCTCTCTGTCTCTCTCTCTCTCTTAAATAAACATTTTAAAAATTTTTTAATAGGGGCGCCTGGGTGGCTCAGTTGGTTGAGTGTCCGATTTCTGCTCAGGTCATGATCTCACAGTTCTTGAGTTCAAGCCCCACATCAGGCTGTGTGCTCACAGCCCAGAGCCTGGAGCCTGCTTTGGATTCTGTGTCTCCCTCTCTCTCTGTCCCTCCCCAGCTTGTGTACTCTCTCTCTCTCTCTCTCAAAAATAAATAAACATTAGGGTCACCTGGGTGGCTCGGTCAGTTAAGCGTTCGACTTCGGCTCAGGTCATGATCTCACGGTTCGTGGGTTCAAGCCCCACATTGGGCTCTGTATTACAGCTCAGAGCCTAAAGACTGCTTCGGATTCTGTGTCTCCCTCTCTCTCATGCTTTGCCTCTCTCTCTCTTTCTTTCTCTCTCAAAAATAAACATTAAAATTTATAAATAAATAAATAAACATTAAAAAAATGTTTTAAATAAAATATGGTAAGAGGATAAATTATGAGTATTCTTGTATGAGTATACAAGAAAAATTTGGGAGATGTCAGATATGTTTATTACCTTGGTTGTAGTGATACCAGGCATGAAGCATATGTCCAAACTTACCAACACGCATATATCAGAAAAGGGCAATTTTCTGTAACCAACTATAGTTTGATAAAACTAAAAAGAAAGGACAAACTTAGGTGAAGAAAAAGCCAATATTGAGAAAGTCTAGGACACTGTAGTCGACTGATGACTAGATAAAAAAGATGTCAGGTATACATACAATGGCATATTACTCGACCGTAAAAAAAAAAAGAATGTAATCTTGCCATTTGCAACAGTGTGGAGGGATCTAGAGGGCATCATGCTAAGTGAGATAAGTCAGTCAGAGAGAGACAAATACCATATGATCTCACTCCTGTGTGGAATTTAAGAAAGAAAACAGGGGCGCCTGGGTGGCTCAGTCGGTTAAGCGTCCGATTTTCAGCTCAGGTCACAATCTCGCGGTCTGTGAGTTCGAGCCCGGTGCG